GAGATGGGCCTTCAACCCAGGACTTCTGAATCCTTGTCAGGGCTCTACCTCCTAACTATTGACTTATCCATACCAGGGGCCTTCCAGGAGGGTTGGAGGGCTGCTCTGAGGGGTCCTCTCATCTGTTAGAGAAGTTAATTAGAATCAGACACTCTGATGTGGACCAAGGGTTTCACACCATAACCCTAGTCCCTGCCAGGCAACTCCTAAGTGTGACTCTGGTCCCCAGACGGGGTCCATGTGTAACTGCAAACCTTGTTCTTCCCTACTCCCCCATATACTGGTGAAGAAATACTCATAAGCTGAACTACAATCAGTTGAACTGTTTCTGTGTGCTTGAATCTGTGCTGAGCATAAACGATCTCATGGAATTCTCATCACAACCTTAGGTCTTCATTGTCCACTGTTTATAGATGCAGAAACTGCTGCTCAGGAAAGTTAAGCAGCATGCCCAAAGTCACACAGTAGTGGGGCCAGAATTCCAGCAAGAGGCTGCCTGACTTGAAAGTAGCCTGGCTCAAATCACAGTGATGCTCTCTTTGCTCCCTCAGAATGCAGAATGGTAGCCCAAAGAGGCATCCCAGAGCTGATTCTTTTGCTCTTGGGTACACATTTTTTCCTCATTTGAGGCTGCGGCTGCATCAACTTCTTGGCACTTGAAAAAGCAGACTCTGAGGACTAGCTTTGTATGAGGAACCTGGAAATAGTTGGCCCCCAGGAAGTGACTCAGTGTCCCCAATTCTGTCTCCCATTGCCCAGTTTCTTGGCTTTGTGATCTTGCAGAAGGGCGTGGCTGGGCTGTTGGTAATCAGATGACTTGGAGGATAGAAACCCCAGTGACTTCCTTGGTGTGAATCTGAGCCCCTGCTGAGAATGAACATCTTGGCAGTTTCTTTTCTTCTTGTTCAACTTGGGCTCCCTGAAGCTCTTGCCCCTGAAATAGAGCCAAGCCACCTGGCCTGCCCTCCCGCCCTCCCAAGGGCACCAGTTTTGGAGGACATGACCAGGCGGGAGGTCACACCTGCCGCTTTGCCCCCACCCAGCAAGTGCCACACCAGCAAGGGACAGGCACACAATTTCTCTACCAACAACAATTTGCGGCATCTTTCCTATGCCAGACACCACACAGGCACTAGAGAGATGGCAGGGAACAAACCACTATGGCCCCTGCCTTCATGGGACCTGCAGCCTAGTGGAGGAGATGGGCAATAAGTCCATAAGTGAATATGTTGTGATATCAGATGGTGATACATGCCTTGGACAGGATGAAACAGGATAATGGGATAGACAGAGACCAGCGTGGGCTGTGGGGTGTGGGCTTGGGGTCGGGGGGTGCTATTTTAGCCATAATGATCAGGAAAGGCCTGAATGAAGAGGATGCGATTATATCAATTATCTGTGGTTGTGTGCCAAACCCCCAAACTTTGTGGCTAAAAATGACAATTCATTATTTCTGTGGTGGCCTTGGTGTTCCTCTGCCCATTTCTTCTGGTCACACATGAGGCTGCATTCAGCTGGCAGCACAGCTAGGCTAGAAGGTACAAGAAGGCCTCACTCACACAGCTTGTAGTTGGTGCTGGCTGTTGGCTGGGGTACCTCGCTCCCTGTCACATGGCCTCTCATTCTCCAGTTAGCTGGACTGGTTGCCTTACTTGGTGGTCTAGGAGCAGCATTCCAGGAAGGTGAAGGCAGAAGCTTGCAAGACTTCTTCAGGCCTAGAATCTCGACTTTATAGGGGGTCATTTCTGCCACATTCTCCTGCCAAAGCAAGTCACAAGTTCAGCGTGGACTCAAGGCATGGAGAAAGAGATGCCACCTCTTGGTGGGTGTTTTAGTCGGTTTTGTGTTGCTATAATAGAAATACCTGAGACTGGGTAATTTATAAAGAAGAGAGGTTTATTTGGCTTATGATTCTGGGATAGCTGCATCTGGCACGGGCCTCAGGCTGCTTCTACTCTTGGCGGAAAGTGGCAGGCAGCCAGCGGGTACAAGCAGATCACATGGCGAGAGGAAGCAAGAGAGTAAGCAAGAGAGAGAGAAAGAGAAGGTGCCAGGGTCTTTTTAAGCAATAAGCTCTCGCGGGAACTAACAGAGCGAGAACTCTCTCATTAATCCCCCCTCCCCCAGGGAGAGCATTAATCCATTCATGAGGGATCCACCCCCATGACTCAATCAGTTTCCAGTACTGCCACATTGGAGATCAAATTTCTTTTTTTTTTTTTTTTAAAAAGATGACCGGTAAGGGGATCTTAACCCTTGACTTGGTGTTGTCAGCACCACGCTCAGCCAGTGAGCGAACCGGCCATCCCTATGTGGGATCCGAACCCGGGGCCTTGGTGTTATCAGCACCGCACTCTCCCGAGTGAGCCACGGGCCGGCCCTGGAGATCAAATTTCCACATGAGTTTTGGCGGGGACAACACATCCAAACTCCATCAATGGGGGAAGCAGCAAAGTATCCGTGGCCTTCTTTAATCTGCCACATCATCCACGTAAAGATCTTCAGGAAAAGTGTTCTCTGTTTCCAGGCAGAGAAACAGCAGGTGCAAAGGCCCTGAGGTAGGATTAAGTCCAGAGACCTGAGCGTAAAGATCTTCAGGAAAAGTGTTCCAGGCAGAGAAACAGCAGGTGCAAAGGCCCTGAGGTAGGATTAAGTCCAGAGACCTGAGCCTTGAACAATGGGTTCCTCCACTTCCTCGGTTTACTTCTATGAAGTGGGAACTAAGGATACCTCCCTGCCACCTTTACAAGCATAAAAGATGTAAGAGGCTTTGCTTGAGGGCAGGCTTAGGATTTTGGTTATCAGCCACTGGGTGGGAGGAGAATCAAACACAGGAGCTTGGTTTTCATCCTCCAAGCTCCCCAGTGTTTGCTTAGCACTATCTGGCAGGAAGGCACAGTGCTCAGCACCGCAGGTACAGGAGGAGAGTGTAAGCTGCTGATCTTGCTGAGCTTATAGGATGCAAAGATTGTTCACTGCCCCTGATGGTGACTGAGACATACCAGGTGCATCTCAAAAGAAAAGAGCTGGGAGGATTGTGGGGCCCAGGGAAGGCCTGGAGGAGATGGGATTCCAACAAAGCCTTGTGGGGCACAGATTTGGCTTAAGGAGTGGAAACTGTTGAAGTGGGAGGGGCTGTGGAATTTAGCAATTCAATGCAACAAATGTTTGCTGAACCCCTACTCTATGCAATGTGAACAGGACAGACAGATTGCCAAAGGCACTGAGGGGACCCAGAGGAAGCACTATGTAGGCCTGGAAAACCAGGAAGGCTTCCAGGAAGAAGCAAAGATGCTTCAGAGACCTAAAGGATGCGTCAGGTCAAGCATAGTGGGGCAGTGGAAGGAGTGGAAGGTACCGAGAAGGTCCCAGTTGGAGGAATAACATCTGCAAAGGCCAGAGAGGGGAGGGAGAGCCTGGGATTCTCAAGTTAAGGCAAAGAGTGGTGTCTGAAGCAGAGTCCACGTGGAAGAGAGGGAGGGATGAACTTGGGGCCAAAATGGGCCTCCTGGGACAATTAAAGGCTCCGACATTTTTCCTGAGGGCAATGTACATAGGACTGCTAGACTTAGCAAATAAAAATACAGGTTGTCCTGTTAAATTTGAATTTCAGATAAATAAGTAATTTTTTTAGTGTAAATATGTGCATGTAATATCTGGGACATTCTTATACTAAAACATTACTCATTATTTATTTGAAATTCAGTTTTAATTGGGCCTCCAATATTTTCTCTGGTGACCTTAAGTGTGGGCTCATGGAAGGGTTTTACGCAGGGAGGTGACATGGTCAGATTTATATTTTGGGGAGCTCCCAGGATTTGTAGGAAAATAGACTGGAGGGAGAGCAGGAAGGGTTGGGGGATGAGGTTCCTGCTGTTGTCCAGGCCATAGAAATGGAGGTTGCCACAGTGAATGGGGGCATCTCATCATGTTTGCCAACACATCTGCCTCCCCCACTGGGCAGGTGGCCTTGGATAAACCCCTTAGCGGATGAAGCCCCAGGGGACTGCAGACCAGGTCAGACCCCAGCTCTGCCATATGAGCCTCTGGACTACTCTCCTCCCTCCCAGACCATCAATGCTGTCATCTGTCAAATGGGGTCAGATGATCAGAGAGATTGTCCATAAGGGCCCTTCTGCTTCTGTCATCCTGGGTTTCTCTGCCCATCCTCTCTGACATCTTTCCAGGTGTGGGCCCACCATGGTGACAAACCCAAACCCAAGATGTTTGGCTCCAACATCATCCTTCCTGTGTCTCCTCCCTCCTTCTTCCCTTCTGCCATTACTGTGGCCAATCAATGCATGAAAAGCCCCCATGTCCTCTCTCTCCAACCTAAGGTCCCACACCGGGTTTAGGAGAAGGGACTCAGCATTTGTTGAGGGCCTACTATGTGCTAAGCTAGGTCCTGTACATCACTTGTCTCATTTAATCCTCACAGCAGCCCCACGAGGAAGGTATTATCCCCATTTCACCGATAAGAGAACTGGAGCTCAGTGGTACAGTTGCTGCTCCGGTCACACAGCTGCTCAGGACCAACCTGGAGTGGAGTCCAGGTCTGGCTGGCGCCAGTGCTCTGTCCTCCTACTGTCTCCAGGAAATGTCCCTGGGGAGCCCCTAATCCTCCATGTATTTAGTGCTTGGGCTCAGTCAGCAGTCTTCTTGTCCCACTGTAGGCACATGCTGTCCTGGCTCTTTCCGAGTTAAGCCAGGGACTAAAATGGGTTGGCATCACACTCATCTGCTGGGGGTGTTACTGTGTACAAAGCCCTTTCCCATCTGTGCCCTCCCCACGACCCCATGGAGACATTGCAGGACCTCTCCAGCTCTTCTGGCCTGCAGCTCTGCTGCAGTGAAGGCCACATTAAATATTAACAGGGCAGTTTTTGGCACAGCTGGGATGTCAATTACTGGGCTGCTTGGTGAGGGCTGTGGCTGCCTTTCCAAGGTGAAGCAGTGACTGGAATTCAGCTGGCTCAGATGGCGTCCCAGGAGGGTAGCTGTCAGGACTTGGAGAAGATGCTGCTAATGTAAAGGGTAGCAGGAATCCAAAAGCTTTCCTCTGAGCTCCCTGGCTCTCTCAGGGCCTGGGTGGCATTCTGATGCTGGGACAGTGCATTTAGTCATTTGGCAAGAATTTGTCGGGCAACTGCTGTATGCCAAGCACAGTGCTAGGCTCTGGGGATACAGCTGTGAGCGTGACAAGGGCTTTGCGTCATGGAGCTCCCTATCTGGTAGAGGAGAGGAAGGAACTCAGCACTGTTGGCCAGGGCAGGTGCCTACCCCAGCCTGAGGCCAAGGGATCCTTCCAAAAGAAGCCACAGTTATGCTGGAACCTGAAGAAGGAGCCCGAGTTAGGGAGGGAAAGAGAAAGGGCAGGGGTTTCAGGCAGAGGGAATGGGATGGGAGCTCAGATACTGGTTCTACCCCTTCCTAGCCATTTCTCTGCAAATTGGGTTCCACCTCACAGGGTTGCAATGAGGACTAAATGAAGCCACTGCTACAATAGTACAGGGCTGGATGCATAGTGAGATTCACAGTGAAAGCTCAGGGGTAGCTGTTACAAAAATAGCTCAATGTTTTCCTTCACTCTGCCAGGAATTCTTTCCCCTATTTAGTGAGCAGAGAAACTGAGGCTCAGAGAGGTGATGTGAAATGCCCAGGGTTATATTGTAGATTACATCCCAGGTTGGACACATGACCCCAGGCTCTGACTTGGGCTTTCTGCCACACTCCAGCCACAGGCAACCCAAGCAGTTATTTCAGCTCCATGAGACAGAATCCCAGCAGTGATCCCAGCATGAATTCCTTGGCTGCATTTCCAAGGGCAGTCTCAGCCTTCTTTGAGATAAGTTCACTGCTATCTGAGTTGATAAGCCCAGACCTGGGCTTTGGGAGGTTAGAGCAGTCTTGGTTCTGCTGCTAACCTGCTGTGTGACTGTGGGTAAATTATTTTTTGTCTCTGAGCCTCAGTTCCCCAAAGGGCCAGCTGAATGACCATTGTCAACGTCTGGGTCTCTGATCCTCCCAACAATGCTGAGGCAAAGGAACTGCTTTTAATTCCATATTAAAGATGAGGAGCCAGTCTGAAAGGGGCAAAGTGCCACGCATAAGGCTACACAGTTAGCAAGTGGAGGCAGGATTTGGAACCAGGCTGGTAGAGCCGGTCATCAGTCCACTTCCTTATGCTGCCTCTTGGAGTAAGAAAGTCAAACTGAATTGTCTCCAAGATTTTTACTATGAGTCTGAGATTCTGCGAGTTTCCTGCTGCTCCCAGGCTTTCAGAGTCCAGTGATTTTATGGGGAGGGCACTTCCAGTTGGGCTGATTCTCCAACTATCTCCATTTAAAGGAGGTAACAGCACTGTCATGAGTGCCTGGCAAGCAGTACCCATTTCCTCCCTTATTCTTCCTGGCAACAGCCCAGAGGGTCTATCAAGGACGGGACAATTGCAACATGTCCATTTTTATGGAAGAGGAAACTGAAGCTCACAAAGGTGCAGCATGTTGCCCAGGTTTCCCCCAGCTACTGTGGAAGGGCTGGGATTTTAGGCTGGGTCTGGTAACTCCCAATCTTGTGCTCAGAGTAACTGCAAGTTGGCCAAATTCGACCTGGGACCCCCTTCTCCTTTCAGCTCCCTCCCAGCTCTCACAATCTTGCCTTCCTCCGCCTTACTCCCTTCGTTTTTAAAAATTTTCACTCAAATGTCAATCAGTTAGCTGTCAGCTGACTTAAGGTGTTCCCCTTCCTGGAAAAAAAAAGAAAAAGAAAAAGAAGAAAGACAGACAGACCTTGGCACTCACAAAGAGGGCTCTAATGGTGGGATTTCTGTAATATGCAGAAGGTGTAATCGGATTCAATTCATTATTCATGGAGAGGTGCAGGACACTCAGCCAGGCATCCCAGGGGCTCAGAAAAGAATGAAATACACAGGCCCTATCCTTTGGTGCTTATGTTCTGCAAGGGAAATAGTAGCTTCCTAAGGAAGTGGGAAGCAGGTGGTGTAAGTGACACAGAGCATGAACTTTATAGTCAGAAAGACCTGCATTCAAATCCTGACTCTTCCTCTACTAGGACCTTGGGTAAGAGGATGCTCTCTGAGCTTCAGTTTCTCCATCTGTTTAATGGGTATAAGAGGAATAGTTGTTGTGAGGATTAAGTGAGATCATATATTACATTAAATGACATAACATAGTGCTCGACCCCTAGTAGCTGGCCAGTAAACATCAATCCTACCTGATATGGATTGTGTCCCCAAAGTTTTATGTATTGGTAGCTTGATCCCCACTGTGACTGTTAAGAGGGAAATCCTATTATGGTAATCGAAAGGTGAGGCCTTGAAGAGGTGATTAGTTTCTGAGGACCATGCCTAGTGAATGGATTAAAAATGATGGTCATGCATGTGGTTCTGAGAGCTTATTTATTTATTTATTTTTGTCTTTTGTCTTTTTCCGTGTCCGGCAACGGATCGCAACCCTCAGTGTTGCCCCCGTACCGGACCGGGGACCGGCAACGGGATCGCAACCCTCGGTGTTGCTCCCGCGCCTCGCTCAGCCAGTGAGCGGGAACCGGTCTGTATGTGGGATCCAAACCCTCGGGCGGGAGCGCCGCTGCGCTTCCCAAGCGGCGCACTTATCCAGTGCGCCACCGGGCCGGCCCCTCTGAGAGCTTATTGAGGAGAGTGCATGAGGACCTATCTCTCTCTCTTTGCTCCACCATTTTCTGCCATGTGAGACCCCTGCATTGCTGTAAAGCCACCACCAAGAAGACCCTCACCAGATGTGTTCCCTGGACTTAGGACTTCCCAGCCTCTGAAACTGTAAGCAATAAATTTTGTTTTCTTACAAAGTACCCAGTTCCGTGTACTTTGTTATAAGCAACAGAAATGGACAAATAGGGCCAGCCCGTGGCTCACTCGGCAGAGTGTGGGACTGCTAACACCAAGGCCACGGGTTCGGATCCCATATAGTGATGGCCAGTTAGCTCACTGGGTGAGCATGGTGCTGACAACACCAAGTCAAGTGTTAAGATCCCCTTACTGGTCATCTTTAGGGAAAGAAAAAAAAGAAAGAAAGAAAGAAATGGACAAATACACTACTGCTGTTACTCTATGCAGATGGCAGATACCACAGTCACAATGGGAGTAGGTGGAAGGTGAGGGTTCTTCCTATTGGAGAAACTGGGAAGGCTCTGTAGAGGAGGTAACATTTCAGCTGAGTGTTAAAGGACTTAAAAAGCAGAGAATGAGGGCCGGCCCGTGGCTCACTCGGGAGAGTTTGGTGTTGATAACACCAAGGCCGTGGATTCGGATCCCTACATGGGGATGGCCGGTTGGCTCACTGGGTGAGCGTAGTGCTGACAACACCAAGTCAAGGGTTAAGATCCCCTTACCAGTCATCTTTAAAAAAAAAAAAAAAAAAGCAGAGAATGTGGAAGGATGGGAAAGGACATTCTATAAACTTGTGAGCAGACTCTGGGAACCCGATGGGCCTACAATGTCCAGGGAGAAGGTGATTAACTCAGAAAGATGGGCAAGGATCAGATGAAGGGCCAAGTGAAGGAGCATGTATATTTTGAGGAGGAAGAGGTTTTTACCCATAACCCCAGGGGTAGCTCAGTGCTGAGTCTGCAGAGACCAGCCCCCTGGAGTCAGCCTTCTTATATGGCTTTGGTCCTCCCAGATCCCTTTGTTTCCTCAGTTGGGGCCAGCCTGCCACCATCATCTCTGGTAGAAGACAGAAGGCTGTAACAATCTGCTTTCCTCCTACGAACATACCGGGGAGGAAAAGATGCTTTTTATCACAGTTGCCTGGCAGGGAATGTTGGTGAAAACTCAGCAACCCTCTCTCTTACTTCCCAAGGTACACTTTAAGCAGCAGTTGAGACAGTTATGCTCACAGCTCAACAACTAAAAGAATGTTCTCAGGCTCTCAGAAGATCAGGGGCAGCAGTGGGAAAAATAGTGAAGATGGAGTGGTTCTGGATCCTGGTTCCTGTCCCCTGCTCTTCGTGCTGCAGTTGGGCAAGACACTTAACCTTGCTGTGTCACAGTTTCCTCATCTGTAAAATTGGAACAATAGTGTGGACTCCTCCTTACTGAGTGGGAGTGTAGTGGCAGACTGCTGCCCCGTGGCCTGCTGTGTGGTAGAATTGTATTACCTTCTTCCCTCCATGTCTTGACACCGTCCAAACACCTGTCTTTTGAAACATCCCTGTTTTATCCCCTTGAGTTGTCATGCCATTGTTTGCTGATCTTCCAGTGGTAAAATACCCTAGACCTTCAGAACTAGAAAAAGGAAATTCTTTGCCATCCACCAGTGCAGCCACCCATTATACATATAAAAAATTCAAGGCTCAGAGGTGAAGTAAAGGCATTCCTGGCCCAGTCCTCTAGCTTTCCTAGATCACAACAGCCTCTCCCACCTGGGCCCACCCAGTGGGAACCATGCAGAACTTTGAGGCAATTATCCAGATGTTTCAAGCCAAAGGCTCTAGAAAATTCTTGCTAAGAAACACAAGCTCCCTGACCATCCGCAGAACTGAAGCAAAAGCCTTTTTTGCCCTCATTTTTACTGCAATTCCATAGGTGACAGCTTTGCCTTCTCCCCCAGGGCTGAGCTCCTCTGAATAAGCTTGAGGGGGGCGGGTGCTGTGAATGGAGCTCTGAGCTCCACCAGCTCACAGAACCAGCTCACAGACTGCAGCTACCAGGACACTTTCGCACTTCTTAATGCCAAAATCTGCCTTGGGTGCTGGCCTGCTTCCAAGGTGGGCTTTGAAAGAGTGGCGGAAGGCTCTGGATGATCCTGAAATCTGTGTGCTCAGGCTGATGTTAGTTAAATGCAGGGGGCAGGATGTGGTATCAGCAAAAGCACACTGGAGTCAAAGCGAATGGCAGAAAATTGGTGTAAGCAGGGGAGTCTTCGGATGACTGCAAGCATCTGACCCTTTCAGGTCTCAGTTTCCTCATCCATATAATGGGGATAACAACCTTCCTCCAAGTAAGGATTTGGAGATAATACTGGTATAGGAGGATAAAGTGTTTATCCTCAAGCCAGGCAGAGAGTAAGTGATTCATAAAGAAGAGCCACTGTTGATGCTATTGCTGGTGGTGGTATTATCATTGGCTGGGGATCAGTAAGGTCATCTTGGCAGCAGGTGGCCTGCATTAGGGAAAAAAATTTAAAATCCTATCTGGGTGACACTAATCTGTGGGCAGGTGGCTCCTCCAGCTCAAGATAGTAACCATGCCAACAGTGTGAATGCCATCTCTCCAGAACAATACCAGGTCTACTTTGTAATATGTCCCTTGGTGTCCAGACTTCTCAGGCAGCTCAGAGTGTTCCAGAGTATCTGAGAAAAAAAAAACAGGGCATATCTTTTCTGGGTCACCTATTCACTGGGCTCCAGTGGAGGGTTCTGACAATGCTTTGGAAATCTAGTTCCTTGTGAGGAGCAGTGGTGACCTCTGGTTCAGGGTGGGATGCAGCAAGGAATTATTATATAGTCATGGTGGCGGGTGATTTCCATGTGCCAGAACTGTGCAGGCAGGGTACACACACATGCACACACTTGCTGATCCAGCCCCACAACAACCCTAAAACACAGTTGTGGTTAGTTCCGTTTTACAAGTGGCTTGCCAAAGGGTAATCAGCTGGTAACTGGCAGAGCAGGATTCAAACCTAAGTCCAGAACCATGTTCTTTTCCCCATCATGCCACACACACTTGTCATCAGGAAGCCAGGGTGGGTTTTGCTCTGTTCCCTGAGTGAGACCCTGTACTAGGTAAAGACAAAGACCTGGCCCTTGTGCTGGGGAACTGCTTTGAACCCTGGAGCAACATGGTGTGTCTGACGTTAATCACTGGTCGCCTTCGCCTCGCTCAGGGACTGTCTGTGGATTTGCTTAAAGGCCATGTTTATTGATAGGACTTAGGGCCCTAGGAGTAAGTGACCTGTCCCAGGCAGTTGTCCTGGTCTTTATTTATGAGGCTTTGGGGAATTGGCAGCTCTCTCCCAAGAGCAAAGAAGATGTGTGCTGTAAGAGCATGCAGGGTACAAGGTGGGATGTTTGTATGTGCTTTCTACAACCTGAATGACCCTAAATGGGTCATGGAACATCTCTGAGCCAGTTTCCTCACCTGTAAAATGGAAATGGAAATTGTACCTACCTTCCAGGCATATTTTTGTTTGTTTGTTTTGGCAGCTGGCCAGTACAGGGATCATACCCTGGACTTTGGTGTTATCAGCACCATGCTCTAACCAACCAGGCATAACTTAAGGAAAAAAATACGCCCATCTCTGCAAAGCACCTTGCCCGGTGCTGGGAACATGGTAGATTGTTCCTCAAGAGTGGGCATTGATGGGGTTGCCCAGGATAGGGAGGAGTGAGCAGAGGGCCTGGGATAGAGGCCTGAGGAACCCCAGTACTTCAGGGTAGGCTAAAAGACAAGTCTACTCAGGAGATAGAAGAGAAGCTGCTGGAGCAGCAGAGGGAAAACCAGGAGAGTACAGGTCATAAATGCTAAGAGGAGAGCTAGTCAAGAAGGGGTGAGCAGCTGTGCCCAGGGTAGCCAAGAGCACCAGGTAGGTGAGGACTATGAAGTGTCCTTGGATGTGACCTCAAGGAGGACTCTGGTGGCTATGGTGAAGGCCATCTAGGTGGAGGAGTGGGGGCAGAGCCAGAACATACTGGGTTGACGAGCAGGTGGGAGGTGGTGGGTGGTGGAGATCTGGAAGTTTGGTGAGAAGGAAAAAAGCTTCACGGGAGAACCAAAATATCGTCTAGGCATATCAAAATCAATTATTTAGAATGCTCCATCTCTACATAATTTTCACTGTTTTCAAATCAATCTCTATCCAACACGATCAGCAAAGCTAGGTGGGCTCTAAGCGCTCTAAGAGCTGGAAGGAACCAAGGACGTCCCCCCATCTAGTGCTGACCCTTGTACCTCTCACTAGAACTCCTTCCTCATGGAGGGTGGAATGGATGATTAATTACTATCAGACTCTTTAAAGATATCCACTAGGGGGGCCGGCCCGGTGGCGCACTGCTACAGTGCGCTGCTTGAGAGCGCGGTGGCGCTCCCGCCGAGGGTTCGGATCCCACATACAGACCGGTTCCCGCTTACTGGCTGAGCGAGGTGCAGGCGCAACACCGAGGGTTGCGATCCCGTTGCCGGTCCCGGTCCGGTACGGGCGTGACACTGAGGGTTGCGATCCGTTGCCGGACACGAAAAAAGACAAAAAAAAAAAAAAAAAAAAAAGAAAAAAAACCA